TTTGTCAATCATCTCTTGCTCTGATTATGTGACATTAACATGTGATTTTTGTTAACTAGAAAAATGACAGCATAGTATTTCGTAATGGGCCCAAACTAAAACATTATATCACTCTTTACAGGTTCCTCCTGTGTCTCTATGTAATGACCCAAAAAAAAAAGTCCAGTGGCTATATCTGTAGGCATCATACCATCTCATCAGCTTATTAATACTCAGAAAATTATAACATCATTATCATAACTACAGGCAATAATATCCTTGGCAGTAATTGGAGAATCATGATGACTCTGGTCCCTGGGTATTATCCCCATCAGCTCTTCTATTTTCTTTCTCTGGCTGTCCCTCACTCAGAGGCAAATGATTATTTCATGTCAGGACTCTTATAACCTCAATAGGAAGAACCAAAAACAAAAAACAAAAAAAGAGACAGTTTGTCAGTGATTATCACAAACCCATTGTATTCTCAGGGATTTATAGAGCTCAACGTGTGTAAGTGGGAAGAGAAGCCAAAAGAGAAGAAATCCAGGGCATGACTGACAGTGGAGAAAGAGTCAAATCAGTCAAGTTTTAATTGGGAGGGGGATGTTGGTGGAGACATGGGGAAAATGGCATAAATAGTGCTGGGAAAAGTCAACTTACAGACTTTCTAAATCCTAATTATTCCCAAAATTCTAATTTCAATCTTTCCAAAAATAATGAGAAACACATAACACTGATTAATGATTGATATTCCCAAGTGGTGGCCACAAGAATCTGCCTTTCTGATTTCTGACTGAGAAGCCCCAGGATCTGCACTCTGAAAATCCCACCTGCCTCTGTGCTAGGGCTGTGCTTCCCACAGCTATTCCTAGCCAACAATTGAGCACAGCAGGGAGATCTGGGCAGGCCAGTTCCTGGGAGATCTGAGACTCCTCTGATGGGCATCCTCGGCTCCAGGATTGCTGAGAGCCCTGCAAACTATTCTCAGAATAGCATAATGGTCTAAGACACTTCCATCCAACCTCCCTTCCTTTCCTCTCCTTCACTTGAAGTCAGACCTCCATCACGATCTGACAGTTCCACCAGCCTCTCCCAACTCCATCCCCTTTTTCTCTGAGAAGGATTTCCCTTAAAAAATTCCTTGCACGTTTAATCCATCTTGGCATCTGCTTCTTAGAGGACCCAGACTCACTCATTCCCCAAGATTTTCCATATTCCCAATGAAGATTTGAGAGTAAGGAATTATCATTTGTTTATCATCTACTTTCTGCCAGGTATGTTAAAAATATTATCTAATTTAATTCCTACATCAACTCTTTTAGATAGTATTATCCTACCTTTAATAGTTGAGAAAGCTATACTCACAGAGTTTAGGAATTAGAATAAAATAAAAGAAATTACCATTTTTGTAAGTCAAAAAGGGTCAGATGTTGGCAGTTTCATGTGGTTTAACCTACGTAATTTGCCAAGGTCACATAGCTACTAAGTGAACAAACTAAAATTTGAACTATTTCTGTCTGCTTCCAAAATTCATGCTCTTTTCAGTCTACAACAATGCTTCATAGTACTTGATGAAGAGAGAATATATGCATAAATCTCATGCATGAGTTCAGTCAATGTCATATTTGACATAATATATATTGGAGGTATCTTAGAACATCAAATATACTTGGGATACTGTGATAATTTTCAAGAATTTCCTAGTTTTAAATCTTTCCTCAATGTTCATAGTAATATGAGGGTTACAAAGCAGCATGAATAATATATATGTGTATATATGCACAGAAAAAACCTCGAAGCCACTGATGGTTAAGAAGGGAGTAATTTTTTGTTATTGTCTTTGTTCATCTATAGTTTGTTTTCCACTGTGAGCATGTATTGCTTGTATAATAAAAAAGTTATTAAAATAAAACATAAAACTATACTGCTAGCAAATCATTCTCCAAACACATCCACAATGCCAGTGCCCTTAGTCATACATTCTAGGCAGCAAGTAGACTAGTCAACGGGGAAGAAAACACATACTTGCAAAATCCTTCCTGCCCCATCTCCAACTTATTCTGGGAATAGACCTTTTTAGCTGCACCCCTCTGGGTTCATTTTGAGGATCTCCTCCTCTGCTTGGCAGCAACAGTGTGCCTCGATGAGAATAGGACAGGAGAAGGCAGGCCACCCAGTCACATAAAGCTCTAAAGGAATTCAAACAGTTCTCTCTGTGGCACAGGAAACCTGGGCTCTCAAAGATTCCTGTATGAACTAACTTCATACTGCAAGTAACTGAGTCTACTTATTACCCGTAGAAAAATTCAAGGTTCTCTAACAGCTGTTTGTTAACATGAGGTTAAAAACAGACATTTTGTGATGACAGCCAAGCAACAGAGCCACACAGGGTAAATATTGACCAAAGCAAAGCCTAAACCAATATTTTGCCTTAGGTAATAAATCTTGATATTCAGAAAAAACAGATTTTGTTTCCTGCTGTAAGCATTATTAATAATTTTAGAAGGAGATAATAATCTCTTTATCCCGACCTTGAAATTTAATTGAAGGAAAGTTTAGATTTAGGATCAATTATTCTAAAAAGGAAAGAAAGGCATTTCAGCAAGAATAAAATCATTTGTCACTCTCTCCTCTCTATTTCCATACTACTCAGTATATTCTTGTAGTGTAGCACATTTGATTATAAAACTTCATGTCCTTGTCTGTCATCTGTCACTAGACTTGGTGTGGCACAATGGCAAAACCCCTTACCAGACCATTAAATTACCACTCCAGTCCTTAACCAAATAAATGGTGCCTAAACAACACTTAATAAATATGTATTAAACAGGAAAACAAATGGGTGAGTTTGTAATGGAACTCTACAGCTTATGAAGAACTTTTCCCATAGCTTATCTCACTGAGTTACTATGGGAAATGGAGATAAGTAAAAGTGACAAAATATCGACTAGATTCAGTTACACCTTCCAAAATGCTAATGGCAAACAATTTATTACCCTATTACTTTCACTATAGCTTAAGGAAAGCACTTGATTTCTCTAATGTTCGAAAAGCAAAAATAATATCAACTTATAGATAAGCTTCTAGAAAGTTTCATATACATGTTCTAACAATTCTTGGGTTTTCATATGGGATAGCTTTACAAACCTCACTAATGACATACTGTGTTCTCTCTCACTTTTCCACCCCAAGAGAGCATCTATTGAGTATGTCTCTCAATTTATAATTGTTGGGAAATTTATACATGTTATTTTAAATTATTTTTCTAACAACCTTATAAAGTATGGGCCATCACAGTCTCATTTTACAGATAAGGAAACTGAGGCCATAGAACAGATACGTGACGTTCTCACAATCACAGAGCCAGTAAACATTATCATCAGGATTTATAGCCCCAGACAATCTGGCTCCAGAGGCCATGGTTTATGTGCTCAGCAGTTAGGCTGTACTAAAACTTTCCTTTGGCTCTGGCTTACTTCTCTTGCTGTCTAGGGTAAATTCACAGATAGATGGCAATAAGAACCATGCCAAAGAAATGGAAATAGTTACCATAATACTTGTGAAAATTTCCCCTAAACTTTGGCTCTTATAGAAGAAGGAAAAACATACAGTGAGGTTCATTATTAGTCTAATTATTCAGGAGCTGACAAGTAATTTTGGTTTATCCAGATACTATCTCATTTCTTGATTAATTTCTTGAGATGTTTATCTCTTAAAGTACTTATCCCCAGAAGTGTGTCTAAAAGTAAGGTGTGGCTCACATGGGCCAATGGCATGTTTTCTATTTGGGCACAAGAAGGCAAAAAAAAAAAAAAAGCAGCCCCCTATAAAGGTAAATTACTGAAAGTAAAGTCTGGAACCTAGTTCCACATCATTAAGGCAAGGCTAATTCCTATAATAAAGAAACCCTGGTTTAACACAAAAGAAATGCACATCTTGTTCAGAAAGATCAATTATTGGAAAATAAAGGGGAAGGTAGACAGAGTGAAAGGTGTGCTTCACATAGTCATCCAGGAACCCAAAGTTGGCTCTGCTATCTTCAATATTTAACTTCCAAAGCTGTCTGTGGCATTAACACCAAACCAAGAGACAAGGGAAGGAATATAGGCACACCTGCTTCTGAGCCTTTCTGTCTCTCAGCTGACTGACACTCCATTGGTGAGATTTGGTCAGATGGGCCCCACCTTTCTAAGAGAGTAGGGTAAACAGCCCTTGCTGCGCAGTCACTTTCTGGCAATCACTCCACCTTGTGGAAGGGGAGCAGGTATCTTTGATTTAAACCAGACTTCTCTACCTCACCGTGTAACCAAAGGCTCTGGGCTTATCTGGCCTTTATTTCTTCCTCTGTAAATTGTAGATATTGAACTAAATGACCTCCAGTCTCTTCCAAGTCATGGAAAGTTCTACGACTCAAAGTTTTCAGGTCATATACATTTTTATTATCCTATCATTTATTCTTCGAATCATTAATGTCTCTTTTCATTGTCACTGCAATTGACTCATTGAGTACTGATTGTCCATGGCCTTCAATGCCAGGTTGGGATTACTGTATTTAGGATACTTCCACGTAGAGAGCTCCATCCTAAGGACAATAGGCCATCAATTTCATACCATATTGTAATTCTAAGAAAAATGAATGGCTACCAGCTGAAACATCAATAATGAAATTAAGTATCACTCTATAAAAGCTAAGATCTAGTTCTTTCTATTTAACAAATTTAATCTTCATAACAAGCCAGTGTAGTAATGGTTTCAGTCCCCATTTTACAGATGAGGAAAAGGAGACTCTGGGAGGAAAAAATAGCCTGTAAGGATCAAAGATGGTACATAAATCCAGGACTCTTGCCCTCTAAATGCCATTTTCTAATGAACCAAGATTCCTCCTACTGCACTGCACTGGGCCTCCAGGTTTCACAAAGCTCCTTTCTCATTTTATCTCCTTTGACCCGATGAGCTTTTCCCTGATTCCTGTTAAACGCATGCTTTGCAACTGCCTCCCCCGTACACGGTTAATTTCCTACCATTTTCTGTGAGCAGATGTTCCTGAGGAGCAGAGCTGCTTTCCAGGCCCAGGCACTATCTCCTGCAGATTTCTGGATTGAACACAGTAGCCTCTGGCCATCCTTTTGATCTGAAAAGAAAAGATTTTCCCACTGGGGTATTCCTCATGATGATGTAATTAGTTTCCTAGACATACCTAACAAATTTATTTCTAATCACAAGGGATGAGGGAAGAGGAGAAAGAACGATTCATCTTTGATTGTGTGCAATTGTTGCAGTTAATATGCACCATTTCCACCCCCCTTGAGCAACGTCTTCTTTGGTGATTGTTCAAAGATTCGGGGGCAATAGGCTGCTCTTCAAAACAGTGGGGAACTTCGCATTTATAAAGGGTCTCAGGCACTATTAAATTGCTTTTCCAAATCTGGCAAAGACATTAGAGCTGAAAATCCTTTCAGCTCCAAACTGTCCCTGGCATTAAGAACAGGTGAAGCTCTTAATAACTTTTTTGAGATTGTGTTTGATTCAAAGACACAACATGAAACATTCTGTACAAACAAATCCAGCTGTTCAAAATTTCCAGTCCTGTGGGCATAGGAGTAGTATAATATTTTTGCCCAGAATCATGTATTGAAGTACTATGGATATTGTCTTCTTAAATTCATGTAGCACCTATGAAAAAAATCTTTAGCTAACATAATACACCATTTAAATAATGAATCACAGGTATAATCTGAGGTCTACCACTTACCATTAATGGAAGGCTATTAAACAGTTAAAGTAGTCAAAGAATGAAGATTATGGAAAGGCTGTGATATTTTGTACTGTGCTCTGCCGTTGAAGAGAACGTGAAGTGGAAGTGGGAGAAAGTTTGTTAAAGACAGTCTATCCATTAGCCAGTCAACCATCCATTTGAATAGCATGCCACACCACATCCTTTTAAAGGCATGCTTAAAACAAACATTTTACAGGGATAGAAGCAAAACACTATAGGTCATTCTTGTATAAATGAAGGCAGTGAGAAAGAACACGGCCTATAGCCAACTTCCACATCTCTTTGCATATAACATTTAGCCTATCATCAGAAATAAGATCTCCCTGGGTGCAAAGGTCAGCTGAAGAGGAGTGGAGAGGTTGAAGAGAGGATTAAAAAGAATCAACTGAGGAGGAAACACATGAAGACATATTAGATTGCTGTTTCAACAAGTAATATTTATAGCCTGGATTTTGTGCTTGAAGTTTGGAATCGGTCTTCTTGATGAAGTAAATTTTTTTAAAAAACAGCGTAATCAATTATATAGACAGCTGAGCACCTGTGGGACAGTGGAATCAGGAAAAGATAATTCATACAAGCAAATGCTAAATTTTCCAGACTACAGAAAGTCTGTCCTGTTCCTCCCCCATCCTAGAGACACTTAATCTGGGAGGCAGTAACTAATTTATGTGTCTGTTTTTCTCTTCCTATAGGACCACCATGAGTTCTAAGTCCTGCAATAAGCATGCCTGCTCCTGCCTTCAGAAAAGGAGAATTACGTTGTAATTCTTCTCCTAATATTTTTTAGATTCTCCAAATAGGTATTCTTGGGTTCTTCATTTGATAATGGAGCTATAGATAAAATTAAACAACAGATGTAAAATCACTCAGTGGTTTGTCTGACACATAATAGAAGCTCAATATCTAGAAGATGTAGATATAATATAGAGATAAGGATAATAGCAGATTTCTCACTTTCCCTCTTTATCACTATGTTCATTCACATAGACCTCACAGTAGTCCAGGCCAGCTGTCAGATTAGTACAGTAAGGTACCAATAAAAATCAAAATTGGAGGTGGCCTCCAGGCAGTGCTAAAGATGTTGAAGAGGGGACACCAGTCACATCCTCTTTGGCTGACAGTCCTCAACTTTCTTTCTCCTTCCTCCTATTGTTTTTCTTCTCTAACTTAAAGAATCCTTCATATCACGTGTTTTTGGCCCTCCAAGGACTTCTTTGCCTTGTATGGTATACCGTATTACAGTATTTAACACTAAAGTATAACACTTATTTTTAGCATGGTTTAAAATTACTTATAAATGAAAAATATTTTCCATTGAGGTAATGGACTATACATTAATTTCATGAATAAAAACTGTCAGTGGGTGAGGAGGTCTTGGGAATCAGTTGTCTGATCAGGAAACACCATTCTCCTGCCAGTCAGGGGACACAAGACATTCTGGAGACTTTCATGAGAAGACCGTTGTGTTTGACCTCTAAATCCCTGCCCTGGAGTTCTATTTGTTTAGTTCTGTTTAAATCATAATCCTGTTTCCAGAATAACAAGTTTAGCCACTGAAATATCACTGCCATGATTGCTCAGTCAGTTCTCTTCCTGACATTCAAAGAATAAATTGAATGAAAATGTATGAGATTTTTGCAACAGCATTTTCTCTGGAAAACAGACATTTTCAGTTTGGATTGTCATAAAATCGTCCAGAAAAACTGGCATGTGTCCAACTTTGTGGATGTATGTGGAGAAGAAAAGGAAGAAACAGTAATCAAGGAATAGAAACAAGTTAAAATTAAAATGGAGTTACTGTCTACCTTTCAGACATTTCTCTGGATGGCATTTCTAATCAAATGTAAGCTTTTTCCTTTTCCTGAGGAATTAATGATTTAAAAATAAGTTATCTGTGCAAATATACTAGGCTATACCTACACAAGAGAAAGTGAACTATCAAGAAATATCTGAGTAATCTGATCACTGATAAACAATCTCCTATCTCCCTTCAAAATTTAGCATGGGGGTCTAAATATGTAGCTCTCTGTGGAGCATTAAACTGTAAACCTGGGCAGAACTCTCAATGTGAAGTTAATGAATGGGTTAGGATATATCGAAACACTAGAATATGATAAAAGTTCAGACAATCCGGTTCTCGTCAAGATGGCACTGTGAGCAGACATTGAACTCGCCTCCTCCCACAAACACAACCAGGTTACAACAATTTTAGGAAGAATCAGCCTGGATTGAAAACTGAAAACTGGATAAAATGAACCCCCAGAACAAGGGACAGTACTGACGAAAGCAGCAAAGGCAGTAACTCCAGCCAGAGAGGAAAAAAGCCACCTTTGGGAGCAGCAGAGCTTCTCAGCTGGCCAGGCGGGAGCCAACCTAAGGATATCCAGATAGCATCTCAAGACACCTAAGAGTCTCATGCTACTATACATCGGAAGGTGGACGGACTTCCCCCCGGGAGGAGGTGGAAATAGGTGAAAACTCTCTGACCCCCGACCCCTGACCCCCAGACAGCCTAGTTCCTGCAGGAAGCTCTCTTCCAGGGGACTCCCCCATAGCATCGCCACACACCAAGGGCGGGAGCGTGCACTCACCAGTGGAGCGACAGTCGAAACAGGTGACAACAGCTCCACTCAAGCCCCCCGCGATTACACCTAAGCCCAGAGGGAATCCCCAGGGTCCCGCACCCTCCGACAGGGAAAGCCTCTGCTCGCCATTAGCAAGGAGGCCCTTCCCAGAATCCAGAACAAAGGGAAGCTCCTGGTGGGCGGATTCCCCAGCATGGCACCAGACTGCAAGCTGCTGCTGGGCCCACAGTCCCTGGTGCACGGGTCAGTGCAGGGGGTACCTGGACTTCCCATAGACATGGTTGGGGACATGGTTGGAGGTCCAGCGCCCAGCTCTGTGGCCCAGGGGGAGGCTCCGGGGTCCTGCACCTCCCCGGCAGGGAGGGCCTCTGCTTGCCATTGGCAGGGAGGCCCCGCCCAGCATTCGGAACACCAGGAAGCTCCCTAAAGCAGAATTCCCCACAAGGCAGCAGCTTACAAGCCACTGCCAAGCCCACGGACTGTGGCCATGTCCCAGACGTGGCAAGGGGCTCCCAGAAATCCCATGAGAGTGGAGTGGGGCAGAGTGGAGCTCCAGTGAAATGGCTACGTAGCCCAGGGGGGAACTGCAGGTTCCTACAGCAGCCTCAGCGAAAGCCTCTGCACAGCACTAGTGGAGAGGTCCCGACTGGTAATCGCAAGGCAGGAAGGCCCTGGGGTAAAAGTAGCACAGCTAGGTGAGCTAATGACAGACTGGAGAAGATACCCATAGCTCTGCTGGGACCTATAGTGGACAAGTGTGATCTTGTGGGCTCTGTTAGGGAGAAAGTGGCAATTATAGGTGATCCTGCTTCTGGCTGCTGGGAAAGCCCACAACACCGCTGCAGACCACAAGAAGGGAGTGTGTCTAAGTGGGCTGCAACAGTAGGCACCAGCAGCCTGAGGCCCCCTTGCGATTGCCCCCACAACCGACAAGGGACCCCACAGGACCACTGTGACTACGAAGAGGTGTCCAGGTCCAGTCACTAACAGCTGACAGGGTTCCTGGTTGGTGCAGTCTAAACAGTTGCCCCCCCACACACACTGGTCACAACAAGTGGAAGCAGCAACTAAACTCTCTCTCTATGTGGAGGCACAAATACACGCCATCAAGCAGTATGAAAAAATATATTAAATCTCCAGAACAGAAGGAAAATGATAAGCACCCAGAAAACAATCCCAAAGACAATGAAATCTATAAGCTAAATGATGATGATTTCAAAACTGCCATTATTAAAAAACTCAATGAGTTAAAAGAGAATTCAGATAGACAACTCAATGAGTTCAGGAGCTATGTCACAAAAGAGCTTGACACTATAAAGGAGAACCAATTAGAAATACTGGAGATGAAGAACACAATGGAGGAGATTAAGAAAAATCCAGACTCTCCGAACAGTTGGGTCAATAATATGGAGGACAGAATTAGAAATTTGGACTATAGGAATATGGAAATGCTGCAGACAGAGGAGGAGAGAGAACTAAGACTAAAAAGAAATGAAGAAACTCTCCAAGAATTATCTGACTCAATTAAGAGATGCAACATAAGGATTATAGGTATACCAGAGGGAGAAGAGAGGGAGAAGGGGGCAGAAGGCCTGTTCAAAGAAATAATAGCTGAGAACTTTCCAAACTTGGGAAGAGAGATGGAACTTCATGTGACAGAAGCCAATAGATCTCCAAACTTTATTAATGCAAGAAGACTAACCCCAAGGCATATAGTAGTGAAACTAGCAAAAGTCAATGACAAAGAGAAAATACTAAGGGCAGCCAGGCGGAAGAAAATAACTTACAAGGGAAACCCCATAAGGCTATCAGCAGATTTCTCAGGAGAGACCTTACAGGCTAGAAGAGATTGGAATGAAATATTCAAAACTCTGAAGGACA